TTATCAGACATTACTCATCACGAATCCCTTTTATTTCCCAATTTTTGATAAGTACTCTAACTATTTTATTTTCATTTTTTCAATTTTTCTAGCTTCTTTCGCCCGGATTGATGAATTACTTCGCTCTAACTCTTTTTATGATCCTGACATTTCTGTGGGTCAGAATGTTCGTTTATTACAACGCCACTATGAAATTATGAGGGCGTTGGTTCTTCGAAGAGTTTTTTGAATAAAGCATATATTTATAATATTCACAGTTGTTTTATGTATAAAAGTGTTTTTTGATAAAGTTTAATTGTTTTGACGCGTCCTATCTGTGTTTACGTATTTTGTTGTAAGGTCTCTTGTCTGAACCTTAATCCCATTGTTTAAGAATGTGTTTTTCTCTTCGTTGTTTCCTTACTCTCATTAGGAATGACCAACTATCGTTGCTTTACTCGTTCTGATTTCTCCGGTAATTCTCGTGCTTGTCCTCAAATCTTTTATTATTCACCCTTTCTTTTTGGTAGGTGTTTTAACGTTTCCTTCTTCTTTTCTTCAGGTATTCTTTCTTGGATTCGTCGCACCATTGATCATTATTTCTTCTATGACCCCCGTCTTTCTCTGGATCAAAATGTTTATTTTTATTTTTTTAAGTCATCGATAGGATTAGAGGATGGGATTATCGATATGTTAATTCATAATATTTTTATTTTGTAAATAAAGTTCTAAAAATAAATTTTATCGTCACATGTTTTACTGCGTCGTTTTTAAGATCATTGATCTGTGTCGATCCTGTTAAAAGATTTTCGCTTGCTGGTTCCTGTTTCATTCTTGATTTAATTCCTTTTCTGTAAACAATCTCACGCATCCTTAAACTTTAATGTCATTATTTAAAGACGTTTGTGTTATTTCTCATGGCTCTTTTACTGTCAACCATATCCAACAATCAGTCCAACAATTCCAACAATTCTTCAAACAATTCTTCGGATCTTAATTCTCAAGATCTTTTCGATAATCAATTCTTCTTCGGTTCGTTTTTTCTTTTGGGTTTATTGTATTATTATTTAATGATTCTTACCTTCCCGATTCTTTAGTTCCTAATCTGACAATTATTGTTTGTCCGGATTGTAATCATTGCTTCCCGATTTTCCATAATGCTCCTCATCGTCATGGGATTAATACCGTTCCAAGGTTCTCAGTGAATTTTAATTTACTTATCAGAATTCAGCTTCTTGTAACTGAATATCGTCAGGCTATAGGTTTGTTTATTTATTCCTTCAGATGTATTTTTGATGATCAAGATCTAATGTCTTTTCAGATTTTCTTAATGCAATCTATTGCTCGTCAAGTCCTGAATCTCTTTGGGATTCTTCATCCCAGGTTTATCGGGATGTATACAATCTTATGTCCCAATGTCATTCATTGTGTAATGAAATCATGAATATTTTAGTATATGAAAGTCTCAATTTAACTGTTAAATAAAATATTTATGTACAATGTTTGTTTCAAATTGTTACATTACTGTCGTGTACATTATTTGTAAGAATAAACAAATCTGTTTGTTTACATAATCCTAAAGGTTTAAATACTTTCGTTATTTCTTCTCGTCCCCAAATCTCTTCTTCGATTTCTTTCAATCATTCTTAAGAATGTCTTATTATAACTTGACCAATTTTTTCTATTTCTTCGTGATTATAATCCCCTTCTTAATTCTTGTACATTTAAAAATTATTGAAATAATACCATTAAACTACTACAATGATTTTAAATTATCTTGTAAAAAATCTATTACTAATTATTCATCTAATCATTATGATATTTTTGAAATAATTTTACCTATAGATTATAAAATATTTTTCGAAATTTTTATCATTATTATAATATCTCACTGTATATACTCTCAACTTATTATGTTTTCAAAATTTATTCGAGGATTTGAAGACTGTCCTTCTCCGATATATCTTTATGGTGAATACTTCTGTTCGAAAACTTATAAGATATATTAAAAGGCATGTCATCATTATTCTCGGTGTGTCAATTGGTAAGGTTATTTTTGAGCTGTTCTTTATACTTAAGCTTCTCTTGTTTATAACTTCCTTAATTCTTTTTCGAGAATGTCTTTTAACTTATTTTAATGATTCCTTCGGTTCCTTCTTTACTTCTTTGAAATTATTCGTTTAATAATTACTAATTGGTTTTTCTTGATTTTGAGTTTCATTGTCATAAGAGTATCTTGTTTATCCAATCTTCATACTATCCTTAAATATTTCTTCATCTGTGGATTTCCCCAAAGTTTCTTTATCGGTTTATCGTTAATCCTTCTTTATTTAGTTTGTTTTTATCATATCTCCACGAGTTATTTTCCTGTTTATATTTATTTATATTTTTATTTTTGTATTACCTATAATGTCACGTGTTATGTGATGTAATGTTTCTATATTTATCTTGTGATGTTTATGTAACTTCTACATGTCATTTAATTAATGATCTGCATCGCTCGCTTCTTCGATTACTAAAGATCTTATTATCTATTTCTTTATAGATTCAATTGTGTGACATCCTATCCAATCAAACTATAATTCTCAAAGATATTTTTCTTTTGGTTAAATTATTTTTCATATTTCCTATCAGATTTTTGTAATAATCTTTGATTTCATTATTATAATCAGGTTACTTCGATTGTTCATCATGCAGTTCTTTATTGTGTAACTCTTTACACATCCTTCAGCCAAGGTTCATATTTGGTGAAAACATTGCTGTACAATGTATCTAACTTTTGGTGGTGCCATTTTTAATTTCGCTGGTTGGTTCTCAAAAGATCACAAATTTTATATCTATATTATTATGATTGTAGATTCTCAAAAATCTATTTTCTTTCATAACTTGTCACACATGTTTCAGAATTTGTTCTCATTTTGTAATATTATTGTCTATACTTTTATTAAACTTTTCACAGTTCAGATTTTCATTTCACTGGTTAGTTGTCAAAATATTTAGATTTGTATTTTTCCTTAATTATTGTGATCAAATTTAACATGAATAGATTTTATTGTAACTTTTTATCTATCTATCTGATTTTTATGAAACTTTACACAAATGTTGTACCATGTATTACCTATTTTTGCGTATTGTTATATTTCAATTTACTTGTGTATTTGTTTAGTTGTACTATAATCCATTGTACCTTTTATTATTGTTACGCGATAAAATACATATGATATCTCTTCACAAATTGATCTGTGTAACATTATTTACTATTTATGGTTATAGTTCCACTAATTCTGTACAACTTTTATTAATACACTTTTATTGGTTTACTTAGTCGTGATACCTTCTATTTTACTTTTTTATCTTTTACAGGGTCCTCCCTTGTGATTTTCACTTTTTATTTGTGTCATTGTTTATTTGTTTATTTTTTTTAACTTGCATAAATTTTTGATATATTTTCATATATTTTCATATATTTTCATATATTTTGGACGGGTCTATGAAAATCAATTAATTATAAAAAGGGTTGATATTCCCTTTGGTAATTTTCTAGAATCTTCTATTCTAAATATTAATTTCAATTTCCTTCAATAATTTACTAAGTCTTTTGACTTTATTACATTAATAAAACATTTTTTTTGAGTTTTTCTCTATCTAATTACGTCTACTTTAAACATTTATTCCTTTATTTTTCTTGTATTTTCTTTCTTTTGAAAATTTCCATTATTTTTTGAGGTATTTGTTCATATTTTTTCAATTCTTTTAATTCTTCATTTAATTTATTAACTTTAGTCTCATATTCTGATGTTCTTGTCTCAAGGGTTGTCATTGATTCCTTCAGTCTTTTTTCCAGTCCTTTAATTCTTTCCTCATATTTTGTTTTAAAAGTCTCTTTTATTTCAGATACTTGATCTTTTAATATTTTATTTCTATTATCTAATAGGTTTTTCTCTGTTTCAAATGATGATAATTTCATTTCTAATATCTGTTCCCTAGTTTGTAATTTCTTTATTTCTTGTTGTTGATATGAAACAATATTATTAAATTCTTTGTTAAGTTGGTTGTATAATTCTTTAACTTTGTGATTTTCTTCTTGTAATTCTTAATTCAATTGTTCTGTTAATGTCTTTCTGTTTACTAATGAGATTATTTTGTCTATCCTTTCTTTGTGTTGTCCATCTATATTTTTATTGTATAATAATTCTTCACAAATTATTTCATTTTCATTTTTTAATCTTTGTAGTTCTTATTGTAATTTCTCAGTGTATTTAATTAGTTCAAATTTACTAATGAATGCTCTTCTTAAATCTTTAAAGTCTTCCTCATCTAATTCTCTCCTAGTATTATTTATTTTATCTAATTCAATTTCCAATTCTACTATTTGTGTTCTCAAATTTCAAATATGAAGGTCAGTACTAGTAAATGTTGTTGGTGTCCTTTTTTCTTTTCCTTTTACAAGCCATCTTCCTTCTCCTATTCCCATGGATTTATTAATCTTTCCTATTTCAATCCATTTTTCAATTCCAGGGTAGTGATAAAATAAATCTCTTTTGGCAATTTGTAATTCTAATCTTTCTTCTTTTAATTCTTTATCTATTTTATTACCAAGTTCTTGTCTTTCTCTTCTTTCTTTAATTATTGTTTTTAGTAATTCTTCAACCAATTCATCTTCAGTAATTTTTTCAAATTTCCTTTTCCATATAAGTTGACATTCTGAATACCATACCATATTAATGTCTTTTGATGTCATGTCTCTTTCTTTAAGGATCTTTTCAAGATTTCTTGTCATAATTGTTATATCTTTAGTTGTAATATCTTTTTGTTCCAGAATTTCTCCAATTTTTGGATTAACCTCTACAACTTTTCCAAAGATAGTCTTTTTAATCATAGGTTCAGGTACTTTTAATCCATTTTGATTTAATTCATAATTCATTTTTCAAATTGTGATTTCTAAATTCTAATTTTGATTCCGGTTTTAATTTCAGTTCTTGAAAATTATTTAAGTGACTAACCACTCCTTTTATAATTTTTCAGAATCCATAAATATCAGTTGTTCCTAAATATTCAGGATTATTCATTTGATATTTTTCTTCCAATTGTTGATTCTTTTCTTCTAATTCCTTGGCTTTTGCTTTCAACTTTTCAGTTTCTTCTTTAAGCATTCTTATTGTAGTATTTTGTTCAACAATTTCTATAAGTAACATCCTTCTTTCAGTTTCATTCTTTTGATTGATTTTATCCAATCTTTCTAATTCTTCAATCATTCTTTGATTTTTTAATTCCCAAGTAATGTACTTATTTCTGAATTGTTCATTTGATTTAACATAATCTTCTCTTTGTTTAACTAACCTTTTCATTATTTATTCGAAACAATTTTGTTTGTTTCCTTTCATAGCAAAATCCCAAATGAGAATAGCTTCCTTGATTGAAATGAATTTTAACCATTCAATATTTTTTGTTAACATTCTTAACATTAATTCTTCTTCTCTAAATGTTCTTGCATAATTGTCTTTATAAATTATATTCAAGAATTCTTCATTGATAACAATATTTCTTTCACAAATTTTCACAATAATATTCATGGTAGATGGATTACTCATACTATCAATTCAGATTTTTAGTTTTCAAATTTCAGGTTTTTTATTTTTTAATTTTTGTTGAATTATTGAATACCTCGTTGTGTTTACTAGTGTGAATATTAAGGGTTTTTATAATTTTTACCACCTAGTATATCCTCCTTTAGCTTGTAATACATCATTAATTCTTTGAGGTAAAGTTTCTATTAATTTGTTACATGTTTCTACTTCTACATTACCCCAAACTTCTTCAATTTTTTCCCAAAGTTCTTTACGATTTCTTACCCGATGATCTCTGAGTCTTCTTTTGATTTCTCCCCAGAGATGTTCTATAGGATTCAAGTCAGGAGATTGTGCAGGCCATTCCATTACTGTGATGTTGTTGGTTTCAAACCATTCTCTTGCTTGTCTTGAGATATGCTTAGGGTCATTATCTTGTTGGAATATCATTTCTTCTTTGTCGATGTCATACCAATCAAGAGTTCCTAAGAAGTCTTCTTCAAGAATTTGGCAGTAAAGGTTTGAATCCATTTTGTCGTTAATTTTACAAAGATTTCCAACTCCTTGTGATGTAAAACATCCCCAAACCATTATACTTCCTCCTCCAAACTTCATGGTTGGTTTGACATGATTGTCCTTTAATGGTTCACCAAGTTTCTTCCAATAGTACTGTCTTCCATCATTACCAAAGATCATGAACTTGCTTTCATCAGACCATATAACTTTTCTCCAATCTTCAAGGGTCCAATCTTTATGTTCTTGAGCAAATTTTAGTTTTTGTTCTTTATGTCTTGGTGATAAGAATGGTTTCTTGATTTTTAACCTTGATTTTAGACCATTTTTCTTTAATGTTCTTCTTATGGTTTAAGCAGATAAGTCTTCTTGTTCTTTCCTTAAATCTTTAAGAATGTCTATTGCTGTAGAACATTCTCCTTTAGTGATTTTTCTGGTGATTCTTCTTTCATTCCTTATGATTAATTTTCTTGGCCTTCCACTGCGTGGTTTGTCAGTGAGTTCTCCTGTTTCTTCTTTCCTTTTCCTGGTAAGTAGTACAGCTGTTTTGGATATCCCTTCTCTTTTTGCAATTTCTCTAGATGAATATCCCTCTTCAAGGAGGACAATAATTCTTGCTCTTTGTTCAATGGTTAATTGTGTCATGATTTTTAAGAGACGTGATGATTCTCAAGATCTTCCTTTAGATGATGGTCAATCGGATATAAATTCAGATGCTAATCACCTGAGTGGCGTCTTCTATTTTTATCATTGCTGATCTTATTTACATTATTTTTATTATTACGTAATAACAAAAGAGATTTATTTTATCACTACCCTGGAATTGAAAAATGGATTGAAATAGGAAAGATTAATAAATCTATGGAAATAGGAGAAGGAAAATGGCTTGTGAAAGGAGAAGAAAAAAGGACATCAACAACATTTACTAGTACTGACCTTCATATTTGGGATTTGAGAACACAAATAGTAGAATTGGAAATTGAATTAGATAAAAGAAATAATACTAGAAGAGAATTAGATGAAGAAGACTTTAAAGATTTGAGGAGAGCATTCATTAGTAAATTAGAACTAATTAAATATACTGAGAAATTACAAGAAGAACTAAAAAGATTAAAAAATGAAAATGAAATAATTTGTGAAGAATTATTACACAATAAAAATATAGACGGACAACACAAAGAAAGGATAGACAAAATAATCTCACTAGTAAATAGAAAGACATTAACAGAACAATTGAATGAAGAATTACAAGAAGAAAACCATAGAGTTAAAGAATTATACAACCAACTTAACAAAGAATTTAATGATATTGTTTCATATCAACAACAAGAGATAAAGAAAT